AAGATAGGGGCGCTTGTATCTGTCGTAGGTTTCAGGATAGCAAAGATGTTAAGGTTACTGGTAAAATCCACCTCTGGATACTCGTACACTGTACTCAGTGCATTCTACATATTTATTGATAAAGCGTTTCAATTTTTCCACTGCCTGTGGCTTTAGAATTCCTTCCTCTTTTGTGGTCTGTTTCCTCCCCTATGATTGTTGCCTTCACATAGATGAAGAATGTTCTGCTCTCAGACTTCTTTCATGCCATCACTGATTTGCCATATATTCACAGTGATAACAATAATCAACGCAAGGTAGAATAAGTGTTTTTGGGGAGGACTTTTCCTTGTTTAAATGTAGCATATAAAGACTTCATTGCCATCTAGCCCAGCTTTGTGATCCTTTTTACAATCATCTCTCTTGTCACCTGAGGGTTTTCTGGGTCCTCTTGGATTATAAAACAGAAGTCTAGCCTTATAATGCACTTTTCTTAAGATTTAAAAATGAAATGATTGGTTAATATTCTATTCGCTTGAACAGCCAACTTGAAATAAAGCAGGTCAATATAAAAGCAAAGAGCGTCACTGGAATTAAAGCAGTTAGATTCCTCACTGTAAATAGTCTATGCACATGATATACTGACAGTAGTAAACACCTGCTTCCAGTTTTCAAACACTACCTTCATGTGTGCAGTTCCTAACAGTACTATGATAGAATCATTGCTGGGGAAAAAGAAATCCAAAGTAGTCAATAGATTTTGAGACAGAAGTCGGAACATTGTGCAAATAAATTTTGAAGGAAAGGGTCACAGTAATACAAGAAAAAGCCATCATTTTACAATTAAAACAGTTACGAAATTGCAAGAGTAATTTGTAAATATATCAAAAGGTCAATCTCTGAGATAAAGTTGAAATATTATTACAAACTAAAATGGTAGAGCACATTACAAGAGTTGAATCATAATTCTTCCAGTAAAGGTCATAATGATATGCAAATAAAGCCATTTTTTGAAAAAAGAGAACACTAAAATGGTTTATTATTGGTTTGGGTAGAGAACTGTAAATCATGTGTGTGTGTGTGTTTTTTTTTTTAGTCCTGCCTGACTGTACTCATATACTGTATGTTTAATATTATTCCTTAGAAAAGATTTATGTTTTGGCTCTGGTTTGTGCATATACTGTATGATTTCCTCTAAGCCATAGGTTCCTGTCAGACGGAGCTCAGTTGATACAGCAGAGCATTAACACTTACTCATTGCACTGCCTATGTAATCACATAGATAATATGAAAGTGCTGTGGTTTAATTTGATTTCACTCTCTAAGTTTGTAATAAAGTGCTGAATGATGAAACCTTAAATCTTCAAATCCTCCACAACACTCATTTTTAAATGTATAATAAGCACACATCCTGTCCATAAAATTCATAACTTATTAGTTTACATCTCATGATATTACAATATTTTCCTCAAAATAGCACAACCCATTCTCCAAATATTACAAGTGGTGCTATTGTAACTTTTTCTCAGAATTATTACTTTTTGTCCACAAGACATGTCCACAAAACACTGAGTTAGAGCTTTGGAAACCAAAGACAGCCTACTTCTAAAGTCTGGCAGGATCCAAACTTTTAGTTATTTCTTGAAATGTAACTACTGCCACAGCCCACATCTACAAACCAATGACACAGAAAACACTGTCCAACAAGACAACTACCCATAGACATGTCAAAACTAATGTTCACTCTGACACAAAGTGTGACAAAAATTATATTGGACACCATCTCACATGCAAACTTCTGTAAACAATGTGATTGACAATTCTTACTACCAATGGGGGATTGTTACTGTTCTGTATGCTATTTGGAACTGAATGGAAGTTAATGAGCCTTAACAGGTTTGGCAAACAGAAAATGTGAAAGAATGAAAGCCAGAATACACGTTTGGCCAAAATGGTTAATTATTTGACACAGGTACTGGTGAAACATTTACTGTAAATAGTTATATAATTCTCCACTGAGAGTGAAATTACAAAAGAATGCTTTTCAGCTTTATTGCACTTGTTCTATAGGTATTTACTACTGTTCTTTGTTTAATTTCTTACATGGTGTAAATGAAGCAGAATATTCTTAATGATGTTTTTTATTACATGATTGTAATGGAAAGCTTAAATCATTAACATTATAAACTGACAAGACCATATTTGATAAAGCACCTTTGATTTGATATGAAATGTCCTGGAACATCCTGCCTCTATGACTGTCTGAATGGTTCATTATGTTTAATCAGAAATCTTTTCTCATGGGTGTTTTCTTCCATTGATTTATGGTACCGAATCTGAAAATTGTGTAGTTCATCTATAACTCTAAAATACCTTGCCATCTGACTTTTAGTCTTCCTCTACACATTAGTGAGTTGGTCAGTCAGTGCAGCTGGCATCTGTAATTGTACATGAGCACTAGATGTCTGACAAACAGATGTAGAAGTCAATGAGAAAACCAAAACAGTGTCAGGCATTATTAGCAAAAAGCACATATAATGACAAATTAATGATTACAGTATGGGAAAATGCTGTGTGTACAGGATAAATGTGTCTTGTAACACTATTTTACAAGTAGGGTGTAGACTTGATGATGACTTAAGATAATTAACAGTGATTGAGCTAGGTATGTTGCAAAACCAAATATATTTTTATTAAATCATGAACCCACTAAGATGCTTTTGTATTGTCATCATTTTTCCTTAGTTTTGAGGAACAGGGCTAATGTTTTAATAATGTTGTTACAAATAGCGAAAAAACTTTATCAGCAAATGCCCATGAGGAATTTTTAAAATCTCAGAATATGTAGGATATTTAAATATGATAATAAAATGTATTACCTTCATGTAATGAACGAAACAAAAAAGTGCGTTAGGTTGTATTACTATGCATATAAAAATTATGTTCCCTTTGCAATAATATTGGAAAACCTGTTCGAATCTGCGACTTCTGAAAAGGTCAAACTACTGACGTACACGCTATCTCACTTGTCTTTGGGGGATGTAGTTTTCTTGTCCTCAAAAAATATTTCAAAGCAAATCTTTTCCGCTTTCGAATAAGACTTCCTATCCCAGAAGTCATCGTGGGTATCACGTCGACTGACCTAGCGCAGTGTTTCTCGCAGACTGTTCTTGAGTGCTGAGTCGAATATATTCTGCCGTGTGAAACCGGTTGTTTTATTTTACCTCATTCAGAGACAAAAACGGTACATTTGAGTTCGGACGTTCGCAGTCATTGTAAGGAGTGATCATAACATTGGGTTTTGGGTGGACATTTACGTAGACCAAGAAGGACATAGCTCAAATTTCATAGTAGTGAACATCCAAGTCCCACGATGGACCCGAGAGACACAGCCCCTGATTCCTGGGAACAAGAGGACGATGTGGAGGCCACAATCGACGGACAGCTCGAAACAGCATTCACAACTTTAAATGTGAATGCTAAACCATTTGTGCCCAATGTAAACGCTGCTGAATTTGTTCCGGCTTTTGCCACGAAAGCACACTTGGAAAATGTCGACTCTGCTGGTAAGATCAAAACCACGTTGGGGAGCTACGGTAGCTAGTATTAGCTAACCGCTAACAGGAGCCTGGGCTGGGTAGTGCTAGCTTACTAGCCACTATACAGACGTGTTGCTCGAAGTACGACAAACTAGCTAACTGCCGTGTTATTTAATGGAGCAGTAATTTAGATGGTATACCTTACAAAAACAACCCATCGGTTATACAGTTGTGTTATATAGCTCTTTGAGCACTGTCATAACTATCTGAAAAGTCACCAGTCCAACCGGCATTCGGTTGTTAGAACCAACCTGTGGTAGCTAGCTAGCATGTTTGTTACTGATATGGGTTCACAACTAAGCATTTAGCGGGGTAATGAGGTCTAACCAAGTGACTGCATATTCTATAAAAGTAATTGAAACCAAGAAAGATACAATCGTGATATAATATTGGTCTTGTGTTGAAATATGTTCCCTGTCAGGATGTTTCCCCCCTGTTAAAACTACCGTATGTTTGTAGTAGCGCCCATCTCTGTGGTTATGGTAAGTGTAAGGTTCAGTTTAGGGGAAACACATCTCGACACAACACCCCAAACTCCAACGGTGATAAATGTTAACGCTAAGCTCGTCATGAGAAAGGAATTACTTGGAGCATGAGTGCTTAGCATGACGTGGATATTCTGCCGCACTTCTGGTCAAAACAAATATGTCATTAAAACCAGACTGAATCTGTAGACTACGAAGTGAAATGCTGTGGAGTGGCAATCATCATAGGATAACCCCCTTCCTGTATCGACTGAATTTAAATAAACTGACACACACTATTCAGCATGTTATTGGTTTCAAAACCGTCCACAGTTGGCCCCATAAACATACGTATAGGCATCATTACCAAATGGACTTTTGTGTTCCAAATATAGAGGTGTTTGACATGAGAAAGTGTTGGAAAACCCCACATGCAATGGGGTCTTGGGTCTTTCTCTGACATCAACTTAGTGGCCTCTTAATGCAAATGAGGAAAACAGACCTTTCTGTTTTATCCAAATAGTTCAGAAATTAATCCAGTTCCCACACTAGTGCTTTCTGACACCTCAATGGTAGTAGCTGCCACTTCTCTCTCACAAGTGTTACAGAAGGTAAAATTTATAGTGACAGAGGACTTGAGCCACTGTTACTTTATAGTATAACCGTTATATTATGCGAACCACCACATTGTAAATATTATCATGTAGCCCATAGGTTACTAGAGCACATCTGTGCCTGCTAGTTAGAGCTAACTAGATGGAATGTTAGCAGGTCATCACATCTCCAAAAACGTAAGAGCAGATTTGTAATTGGCATTACTTAGATTGACCACATATTTGAAAACTAGATGGTTATTTTCTCACCTAAAAACTATCAAAAACGGCGTACTAAGCATATGCATGAACTTTGTCGCCAAGTATTATCAAAAATACAAGGAATTTAAATCTATACAATTTAAAAAGCAGAAGTTAAAAGACCAACATAGACTAGCTGTTCAAGAGTGTAATAGCCCAGGGGAAGAAACTGTCTCTGTATCTGGTTGGTTGGGTGTACAGTGACCTGTAGCTCTGTCCTGTTTGGTTGCCAAGCCAAACCAGACAGTGATGGAAGTACAGAGAACAGACTCTGTGATTCCCCTATAGAACTGAATAATATACAACAACATAATACATATTATATATTGTATTATTCATTATATAACAGTCCTAGGATGAAAATTATGACTGCTTTCAGCCTGCCCTGCCAAGGCAGTTTCTGCATCACTTTGACAACCAGCTACGCTGTGGGGGGACTGCCTGCGGTGGAAAACAAAGCACCTGGTACCAAAAGTGAGTAGAGTAGAGTAGAGTAGAGTAGAGTTGAGTTGAGTTGAGCCAATTCCAGGTGTCTGTTACTGCCTGCCTCGTTATCCATACATGTGCAGGTTCACAGTAAGCAGATAGGATTAACAGGCTAAAGCCTATAGTGACTCTACATCAAGAGTAACTGTGACCCAACTATAGAAGTTTGATTTACCTGAAAGCTTCATTACCCCTGTCTGTTTTTTAGCAGTACTGGTTGTATCCACCTACATGAGCCACAGAGTCCTTTTTGCAAAATAAAGATTGAGTTCAAAATGTGAGTGTAATATATGTCAAGTTAGTAAAAATACTAAACATTGATTACATGAAAATTTTGTATCAAGCCCAACAATACATAGTATCAAGAAAAAGTAATGGCACTGTTTGAAATTTTCTGGTTTTCTGCATAATTGTCATGAAATGTGAGCTGATCTTCACCAAAGTCACAAATATCAACACAGTATGTTTAAGTTGATAAAATGCAAACTGTCATGATCTTTCATTTCTTTATTGAACACACCCATTAAAGCGCATTAACTATGATTTAGCACAAACTTGGATAAATCTAGTAAGAAATTGTCTGGAAATGTTTTCTCCCTGCTGAAATAAACATCTCCTCCACCCCACTCTGCTATCTTCAGGCCCTGTGTTTATTTCTACCCCTCCCTAGGCAGTGCTGTTAAATTCTGCATTGCACTTCTTCCACGCCCTCACTGATCGGTGGTGATAGTATGCATTTTTCTCTAGATGCTAGAATAGAGCCGGTCACTCCAATATTAATCCACCCAGACCAAACAGGTTTCATTAAAAATAGGAATGCTTCAGACAGCATCCATAGATTATTTAATCTGAATAATCTTGCACAACAAAAACAAACCAAAACCATAATTTTATTGCTGGATGCAGAGAAAGCATTTTGCAAAGTTAACTGGACATTTCTCTTTTGTATATTACGCAGGTTTGGGTTTGGAGAGTTGTTCATCCATTGGGTCAAAATACTGCACACATCACCTAGGGCAACAATAAGTACAAATGGAATCGGGTCACAAAGTTTCACTTTACAGCAGGGTACCAGACAAGGATCCCCACTCTCACATCTCTATTCGCCGTTTTCATCGAGCCCCTAGCAGCAGCGATATGGCAGAACAATAAAATTAAAGGAATACAAGATGCTTACTCAGAACATAAAATTAGTCTTTATGCAGATGATTTATTTTATATTTACAGGACCCCTAGAACTCAGTACAGGAAACGTTACACATTATTAACACATTTTCTAAGTTATTTAGGACTAAAAATTGATGCAGATATGGCTTTCTTCCTGCTAGATACTTGGCCGGTCATTATTATCGGGTACTGCCTCATGCTAGCAGTAGGGACTAGGACACTAGCAAGACAAAACTTGAGAAGAATCACTCAGGAAGGATAAGGAGAGGGCATTTGTCTGTGACCACCACGTGCAAACCCATTCCCTTTTTTGGAGGGTGTCCTGCTTTTGGCTCGCTGTTGTACCCGTTGGTAATGTACTGTGATGAATTAGTGTTCCCTTGATTTTTTTTTTTTTTTCTTTTAAGCAGTTTAGTTTGTTCACTGAGAATTGTGGAAAATTACACTGGGTAGAACAGTAGAACAATGCCTTTCCTCCAAACATGCTACTTTGATGCCACATTGATATTCAATTCAGTTTTATTTGTATAGTGCCAGATTACAAACAGATGGAGATTAGATATATACATTTTGTTTGTGTGTGTATGTGTGTGCATGCACCCAAATGAGTGAATGGAAAATAGTGTAACACGCTTTGAGTGTGTTTCATCGCACAGAAGAGGGCTATATATACGGTAGTAACTATATGACCACACAATGAATGTTGTGCTGTTTGTTGTTATACAGTTCCAGTGGTGAACGGTGACACAGAGATGACCACAGAGGATCTATGGGACCAGAAAATCGCTGAGCCAAATGAGGAGGAGCCAGGTGGTGGGTCTTGCAGGGACCGGGGGCCAGTGGATGCAGCAGTAACGGTGGAGTCCACTCCAGATTTGATGGAGGAGGAGGAGGAAATTCTGGTGCCTAAGGTTCCACCTACACAGCCAGATGCTCCCAAGAAAGAACACGTCAACGTTGTATTCATCGGACACGTAGGTCAGTGCAAACACCTAATTATAGTTCATTATTTAGAGAATGATTTTCAAGAGGGATTTTAAAGAAAGTCATAGAGTGGAAGTGAACACTTATTTGTTTATTTAGCTGGAGACATTGGTCACTGTGTGAAAAGTTGGTATGGGAAGGTGTTGATGAGAGAGAGCCATTTTAAGTGAATGAACTATAGATAAAATGCAGTATATTGTCATAATGACAAAATAGCCTACATTATGTCATTAAAACAAGAAAATACAGTGTGCTGTAATAATGTGAAAAATGCTTTAACATGAAAGTATCGTAAAGATTTTCTAAATTGCAGAATTTTGTTGTAATACAACCATGTTAAAATTATTAAACCCCTATCTAATGTTGCTGTTTTTTAATCACTAATATTAAAGCATACCAAAATGCTGTGAATCACATTTTAGCTTTTGGTAAGTATATAATGACATTGAATTTGCTTTGCTTGTCATGTAGATAGAAATCCTGCCTGTGCGGGTGTTCAAGCTGAATAGAAAACATGGCTAAGCGAAAGGAGCAGTTTCAAAGGTTAAGAAATGATTTCATTACACCTAAAATGCAATCATAAGCAGCATTATAAACAAGTTTAAAACTCGGGTACAGCAGCAAAGCTTCCTGGGTGTGGAAGAAAAAGCTGAATTCCTCCAAGAGGAATCAGATATTTGAAAGCAACTGTTGAGAAAACTGATTTGCAGGAGGGTCTGATGAAGGTAGGAACAGCAGTGTCAGTGCCAATTATAAAAAGAATACTGAATGAACAAGAACTTGATGCTTGGAAACCTTGCCACACTGCAGCCTTGACCATAGGGAACACAAAAATCAACTTGAATATACAAGAAAAAAAAAATGATAGGCCTGTTGAGCTCTGGGAGTCTGTTTTACAGAGTGATGAGACTACTGTTAACTAGAACTGTTTGGATTTATGGATGTAACTACAAAGTGTAGTGCCTGACACGGGTGTGCCAAAGTAATCCTGTGCCCATGTGGTTATATCGCTTATAGAAGAATGACGGTTCTTGATACAATATCGTCTAAGGGAATTGGATAGCACGGTCATCCAGCTTAGGCTTGCACCCTTTCCCTTTACGCACTCAAATACTTCCAGATGCCTTGAATCTTTTAATTATGTTATGCACCATAGAGGGTGATATGTCCTACACCTTTTCTTTCTTTCTTTGAGGAACATTGTTTTTCCATCCATCCATCCATTATCTATACCACTTATTCCTGAATAGGGTTGCAGGGGGCTGGAGCCTATACATTGTTTGTACAGATTTCAACAATTTTCTCACACATATGTTGGCAAACTGGCAATCCTTGGCCCATCTTTGTTCGTAAAGGACTAGGGCTTTCCTGGGTGCCACCTTTGTTTCAAATCATAATTACACTCACCTGCTGACTTCACCTGTTTCAACTAGAATCATCATTTCATTGTTTTACCTCATTACTGGCCCTGAAATGCAGCCGTCCCAACGTTTTTTGGAATGTGTCGCAGGAATCAGAATTGAAATTAGTGTATGTTTTGAACAAAATTAATGAGGTATCACATCAATTAATGTGCTGCTGTATTGCTTTCAATGTAATACAAGACACAGATGATTTATAAATCACTATTTCATTCCAATTTTTTCCTCACTTGGGGTTCTATGTGACTTGTTGGATCCTTACTTCACTGTATCTTATTGCAGACATTAGTAGTGAGCATTCTGTTGAAAATTTTACATACTACTAATATAAATGGTCGTGCAGTGTTTTAGTTACTCTAATGGTATAAAAGCAAAGCATCACTTTTTACCTTTCTAACCATATATTAGCCAGATCTAGCCTGTGGCCCAAACACTGAGTCCTAATTGAGATACTGTATTCAAGGAGGCTGTTTTAAATAAATAAAACAGTAAGGTTGGGGGATTCTTACTTGACATGAATAATGTCGTAGTTTTGGTTAACCTAAATCCACTCTGGTGCTTCTTCTCCAGATGCTGGCAAGTCTACAATTGGTGGACAGATCATGTAAGTATTTCTTTATTTGATTCTTTATGATGAGTGAGATTATGGCTTTGATGTGTTTTGTATTTATTTGTTGTTCCCTTCCTGTCCAACAGGTATCTAACAGGCATGGTAGAGAAGAGAACTTTGGAAAAATATGAGAGAGAAGCTAAGGAGAAGAATCGAGAAACCTGGTGAGTGGACAGACTGCAGTGTTTGAACTGGTTCTTTTGTAATTCTTGAGCATGTAAAAATAAGCTGCTGATTTGTAACAGTGTTAAGAAGAGTGCTATATAAATACATTTGTTGTAGTGGTTAAACAGTATAGCTATATAACTGGATTTTATTATTATTCATATTTTTAACGGCAGGAAGCCAGTGCAGGATCAGCTGTTCAGCCTAGGTTATTAATATCTCTCATAGTAGATGTGAGGATAGTGGTACATCAACCCTGAGAAACTGTCTGATTTCCCACATTTGACTACCCATTAGTGAATAGGATACTGTTTTTTGTTTGTTTCAGGTATTTGTCTTGGGCTTTGGACACTAATCAGGAAGAGAGGGACAAAGGCAAGACGGTGGAGGTGGGCCGAGCATACTTTGAGACAGACAAAAAGCACTTTACCATCCTAGATGCTCCAGGCCACAAAAGCTTTGTGCCTAACATGATTGGAGGCGCATCACAAGCAGACTTGGCTGTTCTGGTAAGTAGAGGAAATGACCAGTGCTGTTAAAGTGGGAGATCAGTTCAAAACACTGGTAGCCCTTTTCTATCCGATATTCTTCAGGAGTTAAAATTAACACAAAGACCCTTAAAGTTTAGTAGAGGTAGACCGGCAAAACAGCCAGGGTGATTGGCTTATTGCAGATAAATGGTGTATTTATTGGCTGATAAGTAATAAGAAGTTGCATTTCAGAAATGTTCAAGAAGGAATAGGTGTCTCCATTACATAGTTAGCCCTATGGTTGGATATCGTTTGGGTTTCTGATAAAACAATACTTCTATAAAGGTGCCAGTCTACATGACACCAGAAATAAAAGTGCAAGGCCATATGGCCTTCGATTTCATACATTGTTGGAGGGCATAATGGCCATGTGACTGGGCACTAAGGCCGAGACAAATTACATGGTACAGTATGTATGTGTACGTAGCTTATATACACAGCCTGATCAGTAAAGTTACAAACTAGAGTAAAGTACAGATGCTTGTAGAATGGTTAAAGAGAAATTTGCAGAGATAGGCTGGTAACTGTGCAGAGTACCAACTAGATATACAGTACCTATAAAAGGTATTCACCCCCTTAGATGTTTTACCCTTTTATTGATTTTATAAATCAATCACGGTCAATATAATTTGGCCTTTTGACAAAAAATCTCTTTAATGCCAGAGTGAAAGCAGGTTTCTATAAAGTAATGTCAAATAAAAATATGTAATGGGAAATAAGTGATTGCATAAATATTCACCCCCTTCAAGTCAGTATTTGGTAGATGCACCTTTGGCTGCAATCACAGAACAGAGTCTGTGTGGGTAAGTCTCAATCAGGCTTGCACAACTAGACGTTACTCCATTCTTCTTTGCAGAACTGCTCAAGCTCTGCCAGGTTGCGCGGGGATCGGGTGTGAACATCCCTTTTCAAGTCCAGCCACAAATTCTCTCTTGGATTGAGGTCCGGGCTTTGACTCGGCAACTCCAGAACACTCACCTTATTGTCTTTAAACCATTTCTGTGTAGCTTTTGCTGTATGCTTTGGGTCATTGTCTTGCTGGAAAGTAAATCTTCTCCTAAGCCGTAGTTCTCTGAATAAGATTGTCGTCCTGGATTTTCCTATATTTTACCACATTCATTTTACCCTCTAACTTTACAAACCTTCCAGGACCGGCTGCAGAGAAGCTTCCCCACAGCATGATGCTGCCGCCACCGTGCTTCACAGTGGGGACGGTGTGTTTGTGCTGATGTCCAGTGTTTGGTGTCCGCCACACATAGCATCTTGTCTGATGGCCAAAAAAAGCACCATTTTGGTCTCATCAAACCAAAGAGCTTTCTTCCACTTGACCATGGAGTCTCCCACATGCCTTTTGGCAAACTGTAGTCGAGATTTAATGAGTTTTCTTCAACAGTGGTGTTGGTCTTTGGTTCTTGTTACCATTGCTAACTCTGAGAGACAAGACAGTCCAAGTAACTTCAAAACAGTCCTGATTTATTCAAAGGATCACAGGTAAAATTAACATTACACGCTCAGGCATCTTGCACCTCCAAACTGCACGCAGGCAGATGTAAGATGAAAGACCCCGAACCCGCCAGGCCTATACATTATATCCCCTCGGTTGGGCTAGCCCCATACTACACAGAAACGTCAACCGAGA